TTCGGGGGCTCTGAGGGGTCTGAGGGCTCTGAGGGGAAGCCCCGCGCTCTGAGGGGTCTGAGGGCTCTGAGGGGGTTCGGGGGGCTCTGAGGGGTCTGAGGGCTCTGAGGGGGTTCGGGGGGTCTGAGGGGTCTGAGGGCTCTGAGGGGGCTCGGGGGCTCTGAGGGCTCTGAGGGGTCTGAGGGCCCTGGAGGCGCGCCCCGCGGGGGCTCTGGGGGAAGCCCCCGCCGAGGCTCGGGGGCCCCCGGCCGGACTGGGACCGGTACCGGGTTGCCCGCTGGAGTTTCGGGGATGTCTCGAGCGGGGCGCCCCCCCCACATCTCGCCACCAGTCCGACCAGGTCGTTTTCAGAGTCCTCGGGGTGGATTTCGGAGGCTGGGATTCCCCCCCCCGCGGGGCGGGCGCAACGCCCAGGTGCCGCGGCAGTTCCTGGGGCACGAGGCGTTCTTGGAGGGCGCGGAGCCCTTGGAGGCGCAGCAGAAGCAGGCGGAGTACTTCAGGAGCTCCGCCAGCGGCGCCGTGGGAGGAGGGAGGATTGGGTTCTTGGGGGAGGAGGGGGGCGGGGTACGCGAGGGCGGCGGGGGACGGGGATGGGGCGCGGCGTCGGCCGCGCTAACCCCGCCCCCACCGCCCCCCGCGTACCCCGTCCCCCCTCCTCCCTCCTGTGGCACGTTGTGGCCCTCCCCCCTAGAGGAGCGTAGTCAAGCGGAAACTGGGGAACGCGTTGGCTGAGGCGGCCGAGGAAGGGGCACCGCTCAAGAAGCGGAGACGGACTAAGACATATACTGCACTGATATGTATCAACAACATGTTATTGCAGTCAGCTCGGAAACAGTTGTTCGATTTCCAGCCGCCCACGGATAACGAAGGCAGATTTACAACAGATCCGTTCTCATGGCCTCTTCTCAGCATGGCCCCAGACATGGGGCCAGACATGGTATGCGGTGTCTACGCGCTCTTGTATCGGACGGAGTCGAAGATCAACTTGCAGGTCGACTTCGACATCAGCCATGGGCTGAACAACGCTGCCAAGTGCGCGTTGCGGTACTCGGGGCGCCCAGTCTTAAGGGGGTTGGTGTCGGAGGGGGACTTGGCTTCAGAGGGCGGCGGGGGGAGGGGGGATCGACCCCCGCCTGGCGGCCCGCCCGCGCCCGCCGCATTCGCTGCCGCGCTATCCCTCGTTGCCCCACTCCTCGTCCTCGCACTCGTCCTAGACTACTGCCCCCCTGGTCCTCAGCCCCCTTACTCCTCGCCCTCGCGTCCGCCCTCCACGCTCCTGCCCGCGTGCCCCATGCACCTCGTCTCCCTACTGATCCTCGCCAGCAGCCCTCGCCGCCCGCGGCATCGCCTCGCCGTCTTCCCTTTATGGGCATTCGACGCCGCCCACCCCGCCCCCCCGCGGGCCCCGCGCGGGCCCTCCTTGGGCGCGCGCATTGGCCCCGAGAGGCCTCCAGAGACGTGTCGCAAGTGTTGGTTTACGATAGGATCGGGCCCTGTCGGGGCAATCTCGGGGCCCTCGCGGGCTCCACCGCCCCCCCTGGTCTCCCCCCAGCTCCCCGAGGGCCCCGTCGTCGGGCCCAACGCGCCCTCGCGAGGGCACCGCGGGGTCGCAGCGGAGCCCCGATGGGGGGTACAGGAGGCGCATTGGAGCTCCTCGAGAAGGTTTCGGGGCTGACTGGGGTCGTTCGGGGCGTCTCCGCTTCCCGAGGGGGGCCCGAGGGCCGCGCGATGCGATCCCAGGATTACCTCGGGGGCGCGGGGCGGGGTGGTGGGGGCAAGCACGGCGCAGGGCCCACGTGGCCCTGCCCCCCCTCCCCCTTCCTGGCCTAAGCGCGCGCCCCCCCCCCCCCCAGGAGGGCGCCAACAGGGCCCGCTTGCGGCCATTGCATTCGCCGCAGGTCCAGCGGCCTCTACAAGTTCCAGCTCGCCCTCGCATGCGCGCAAAACTGCGTGTATGGGTCTACGTTGTCGCCCCCTCGCCTTCAGCAGCTGAGAGAGTGCATGATATCGTATCGTAAGTCGTGCACCATGGAGACGGACGAGTTGTGGCAACTGTTCCTGCCATTCATTCGCATGCAGAAGGATGTCGCCTGGGCGTGCTAACACAATACTGGGCGCTTCGCGTTTCGCCGCCAGCCCATCCAGAAGCGATGTCCAGGCGAGTTGAGGTGATCAGGGGAGTGCGGGGGGCAAGAGGAGGGTAGCTTAGTTGTGCGAAGGATGGGCGCCGAGGAGGAGGCTGGGGGGGCGGGCGAGGGAGCGGGGCACACATGCTGAATAGGATGATGCTGAGGGGGGTGTTAAGGCAGATACTGCGTTGGAAGAGGAAGGAGGATCATGATGGGGGAGAGCGACGGTGCCATAGGCTTCTTGGACGCCGCTCGGAGCCTCTTGCGCTGTCCCTCGTTCACTTCTTGGTGGCCTCTTGTGGCGTCTTGGCGGTCCCTCGGCGGTCCTGGGGGGCCCTTTGGCGTCGCGGGTGTTTCTTTGGGGGGGGGGGGGGGCGGTGGCGGCGGGGTGGGGGGGTGGGGGGTGGGGGGGGTGAGGGGGAGGGGTGGTGGGCTCTCGGGGCCGCTTGGGGTCCTCTTAGTGGCCTCTAGGGGGCGCCTTGTGGGAGGGGGGTGGGTCCTCGGGGGGGCATCTTGGGGTCATCTTGGGGCATCTCGGGGCTTCCTGGACGCCTCTTTGGGGCCATATTGGGGGACATCTATCAACGGTGCTGGGGGCTTCCATTAGCGCCCCCCCCCTCGGACGCCCCATCAGTCGCCTTCGGGGGGGGGCGCTCTCGGAGCGCTCCTGGGCGCCTTTGGGGCCGCATTGGGGCTCTCTTGGGGTTCTCTTGGGGGAGGGGGCCTTGGGCCATCGTGGCGCCATATTGAGGCCTCGGATGGCTCGGGGGCGAAATGGAGAGACGACGCAAATCGCGCGTTGTCTTTACATGGTTTGAAGGGCTTCTTGGGGGCTTCCTTTGGAAGATATGTTGCCCATCGGGGCCGCCTTGGGGCGGCATTGGGGCCTCTTTGAGCACATTCGGAGCCGTCTTGAGGCATCTTGGGCACCATATGTGAGCTCATCTCGGGCTCTCTGAGGCGCTCTTGGGGCCGTCTGATGCCACCTGGGGCGCTCCAACGCGTAGCGGCCCCTCGCGCCAGGTCCAAGGGGGGGCGCGAGAGGCGGGCACCCCCTCTCCCCTCCCCCCCCCCCCCCCCCCGAAGGGGAAGAAGGGGGTTGTAAGAGGAAGCGTTCTTGGCCACCTACGCCCAGGGCTGGCGGTATTTGGTCTAGGTGCAAGTGCCCCCGAATGGTCGTTGGCCCGTCGCGGGAGGGGGCGCCGGAATGGCGAGTGACGGGGGGGGGGGGCCCGACAGTGGCTGGGCGTGGGGCGGTGGAGCGTCGGGCGGAGATGGGCTGGGAGGGGGTCGCTCAGCTCCCGACCCGCCCGCGCCCCCCCCCTCAGTTGGACCCGCTGTCCACAGACGCCGCGGAGGAGAGGGCGCTGTACGACGGCATCTTGGATTCGCCCTTGCTGCATTCAAAGGGCGAGAGGATCTGCCTTGGCAAGTATCAAGCGACTACCAGTATTTCAAAAAAGATGTTGGGGGATTTCTCGGTGAAGGCTTACATATATAACGTGTGCGCCCTGCTCAACGGATTCAAGGCCATGGATAGGAAGAAGCCCCCAAAGGTGGATGTTGAGCCAGCCGTCGAGGGCGAGGCGAAGCCAATGCTCAAGCAGACGGATGTGCAGCAGTTTGGGGATTATAAGAATCAGCTTGACAAGGCTGGCTACATGTTCGGGGACATCGACAACTTTTACAGACAGAAGTTGATATGCCAGATCATCGGGCCCACGGCTGAGTTCCACGGCAGGACCGCTCCTTCATTCCCCGCGCGTTGACGGCGGCGTGGCGGCGATGCGGGGGCGTCGGCGACGTCGAGCGGGGAGGGGGAACAGTGCGGCGGCGCCACCATCCCCCCTTTCATCTGCATCTCTTCTGGCCGCCCCCCCTCGATACTTGGCAACGGCCACCCCGAGCGCAGACCAGTCGTCGCCTCGCTCCAGCTCCGCGCCAGCATGTTCAGGTATTATCCCAGCTGCCCCGCCCGCACTTCTCGTTTGCTGTCCAGCCGTCGGCTAGCGCAGTCCTGCCCACTCTACACAGCCCCACCCTTTCCCCGCCCCTGCAATCAGCCCTCCTTAGCCCTCCCCCCCCCCCCTCCCGCCCGCCAGCTTTTCGCCCCCGTCTCGCAGTCCCGTCAGCCTACCCGACCTTCACCCACGCCGCTCGAGCCCTCCCTCCCCCTCCCGCGCGCTCCAGGCAGAACGAGCTCCTTCGCAGCGCGGACACGGTCATCCCCTTCGAGCTGGACCAGGTGAGGGGGAAGGTCCACCGCATCGAGAACTTGGCGGTCTACCAGATGATCCACAGGAACAGCTACCCGCACTGCGGTGTGGAGGTGTTTTGGTTCGCAGGGCGTTTGTATATCAAGCATCCAAGAGTTACTACGAGCGACGACTTCCTCCGCATGATGTGGAACTTGATCTCCAGCTTGGTCGTTGAACATACCAGACGCCATACTGCGACTACGCATGGTTATCCAAAGCGGCAGGTTTGTCTACTTGCCGATGACACGAGAGCTGATTTCTTGAAGCAACTGCGCGCGGACATTGATATATTCGAGAAGTTGAAGACCACCGTGTTTGCAGGCCAGAAGCAGATGGTTGATCGGTCGGTTTTCCAACAGACTGCCGTCAAACAGATGATATTGTGTTTGGAGATTGAGGCTTGGGAGGCCACGCCTAGGACTGCGGCTGTTCTAAACCAGCCCCCCCCCGCTAGAGTTGTTGTGTCGGGCCCGCTAGGTATCGTTTCTCAGGTGTGGCCCTCTGTGTAACTTTGGGGTTCGGTAGGCCGTCGTTCGGGCCCGCGGCCCTGTGGGCCTTGTGGGCTCGCGGCGGGATTGCCTTCGATATGCATTGCCCCACCCCCCTTTGGGAGGATCATCGCCTTCACCACTGAGAAGTGCCGACGCTTCTTGGTGCAACAGCTCATCGAGGACATGTTCAATAAGGTCAAGCGCCGCACCGACATGAAGAAGAATAACGTATGTACTGCTCACTGCGCGATGGGCGTCGTGTTGGACAAGAAGGTAGTTGAGCAGACCCACCGCTACGACGCCGTCCAGAAGTCGACTGCCATGGCCACCCAGCGGGACAGCAGGTTTGAGCCTCACTCGTTCAATCCAGTTTTCCAGAAGACGTCCCTGCACAGTGGTTTGAAAAAGCTGGACCTCACGGGGATCGCGTCCTTCAAGGACACGAGCTGGTATTCGCCAGGCGCAACTGGCCATTGGCAATCGTATTGCGATATCGAGTTGTGCCGTCAAGCTGACGCCCAGAACCGACTTGGCATGATGGACCGCAAGTTCCTGTGCAGGCTGATCAATAACGAGCTTATCTTCAGGCGCAGGGGCACTGTGGACTGGATGATTGGGGTCGGCACGGTATGCGGTACCCTGGCTGTTGCTTTGCCTGTGCAGGAGGTGGCTCCGAGAGTGTACAAGCTCATCCCCGATAGCGCGAGGAGGCTCTACGCGATATTAGATGCATCGGAGTGGGAGGCGCTGCCCTTCCGCTGGAGCTCGCCCATCCGCCAGGCCATCAAGGCTGAGCTGCGGAGTCTGGGGGTGGCCGCCACGTCCGAGGCATATTCGACGAAGGAGGTCGTGCTCAAGGACCCCCCCCCCGCTCATGCGCGCGGGGGCGTCGCTCAGCAGATGAGGGCGAGGATCATTAGCATAAGGGTGTGTTGGCACTGCCTCGGCGTGAAGAGGGCGGGCGGGTGGGGGGAGGGGCTTGGCGACGACGAAGATCAGGTTGATGAAGAAGGGGTGGAAGGGGGGTGCTGAGGATGAGGATGCCGACGACGACGAGGAAGACGAAGATGGGCATGGGGTGCACCCCGCCCGCGCCCGCCCCCCCGCCGCGCGCCTCGCCAGGATGCGACGAAGTACAGCGACTTCACCGCCCTCGCCGAGGGCGTGGGGGAGCCGAAGGCCTTGTTGGTATGCGCGGCTCTCCAGGGGTTCTGGGATTTGCCCTTGTCTGTGCTGCGCGAGATCGCGACCATGCTCGACGTTGACATCAAGGAGTGCAGCATCATCGGGGTGCTGGAGGCCTTGGGGTGGAAGCTCATCCCGAATTGCACGCAGCAGAAGATTATCGACATGATGCACATGCGCCACCTCGCGTACGAGCGGTCGGAGGAGTCCCTCGACGACCTCGTCGAGAGCGAGTGGGTGACCCACCACTTCGACAAGGACACCGCCGAGTACGTGATGAGCGAGATCAAGGCGGCAAAGGAGAGCATCGCCCATCGGGCGAACTATCGGAAGGACCTCAGCAAGTTCAAGGCGGTTCCAATTCCCCACTCGGCCTCCCCCCCGCAGCTCGCGACCCCGCCCCTTGTCGTCCCCGCCCTCATCTCCCCCCCCCCCCTCCCTGCCCAACCAGCCCCCGCTAGCCCACCAGGGAAGAGGGGCTCCCATCAACGATATGCGCCCAGAGGGCTAGATGGAGTGCAGGGGCATTGCGTATCATTGCGGGGCCGCTTGCAGGGTACACCATGGTTTTCCAGCGCATTGCGCGGTCGGTTTGCATAGTAATGCGTTGCATCAGGGACGTTGCTTCCAGGGTGGTGCAGGGTATTGCAGGGCCGCTCGGCGGTGTATTGAAGGGCGTTTCAGGGTCGGCGCGGAGTCGTTGCCCACCCCCCTTGCATGGACTTGTAGGAGTTGCTGTGCAGTACACGGGGGAGGATGGGGAGGATGGGATGCAGTTTGACGTTGGACGACCTGATTCGTTCAACCATATACGCCAAGAGGGCAGGTATGGAGTATCGGTGCACACTCGGGGCTTCGAGAGACCCCGACGGGGGCCCAAAAGAGGTACCCAGGAACGCTCAACGTCTGCACCGAGATGGCCCCACGAATGCCACAAGAGAGCCCCGCGGGGCCCCGCGCGCCCACCCCATGCCCACCCAGAGGGGCCGCATTACTAGCGGAAAGAGCGACATCGGTTCCACATATATGTTCTGGCTTCCTGACGCCCTCTCGGAACTTTCCTGGGGATCTCCTGGGCAGGAGTTGTGAGGCGCTCTTGGAGCCATGTTGGGCCCGTCTTAAGGCTTGCGAAGGCTTTGTGGCGGTGGTGTGTGGGGGGGACGGGCCTTCGCGAGACCTTCTCAGGGCCCGAGATGGCCCTTATGGGGGCTCCAGGAGGGGCCCGACCATGCTCCTGGGGGCAACTGAGAGCGGCTCAACAGGGCCCCAATATGGTTCCATGACAAGGGTCGTGTCTTGCCCTCCCCCTCCCCCCTCCCCTCCATCACCCCTGCGGGGCGTCTTTGGGGGTTCTTGGAGCCCTCTCGGGCCCCCTCTCGGAGCCCACATGCGGCAATACGGGCCCCCCCATAGGGCACTCTTGTGGCTTTCTTTGTTGCGCTGCAGGCCGCCGCGCTGCAAGCGGTCGCGCTTCCCTCGCGCGGGGGCGGTGGGTGGCGGGTGGTGGGGGGTGCGCGGTGGGTGCGTGGTGGGTGGGTGGTGGGTGGTGGGCGGGTGGTTTGTGGTTTATGGTGGGTGGGTGGTTGGCGGGTGGTGGGCGGGTGGCGGGTAGTGGGCGGGCGGTGGGCGGGTGGCGGTTGGATGGGGCCATCCTTCGACCGCCCTCCCACCACCCACCCACCACCCACCCAACGCCCGCCCACCGCCCGCGCAACGCCCATCCACCGCGCACCCACCACCCATCCACCACTCACCCACCGACCCACCACGCACTACACTACCACCACCTGCACACCACCCCACCCACCACCCACCCACACCCCCTCCCCCCACCCCCCACACCACCCACCCACCCACCACCCACCCACCACCCCACCACCCACCCACCACCCACCCACCGCCCACCCACCATGCACCCACCGCCCACACACCACCCTGGTGGGTGGTGGGTGATGGGTGGGTGGCGGGTGGGCCGTGGGCGGTGGGTGGGTGGTGGGTGGGTGGTGGGTGGGTGGCGGGTGGTTGCGGGCGGGCGGTGGTCGGGTGGCGGGCGGGCGTTGGGTGGATAGCTTCGCCCGCGCCTCTTCCCCCTCACTCTTATCCGCGAGTGCGTTGTAGCTGGCGGTTGGTCTCGCGTTTGTTGCTGCGGCAGTTGCTGGGCTCGCGCTTGTCAGAATCCAGTCGCGTTCGCCCCTCTCGGGCTTTCAGATGCCGCGTTGTCTAGGTGTTTTGTTGTTTGTTGTTGTTTTTTTGCGGCGCTCGGTTCATGCCTGTCAGTCTGTCGTTTGTGTTGCTCGCTCGTGTGTGCGCGGCACTCGGGCGAGTCTCGAGCCCGAGCGGCGTTGGCTACGATGCGCCCTGTGGTATTTTTGTTTTCTGGTTTCTGGAGTTCGCGGCGTTCGCGTCGTCTTGTGCGCGTCGTCGGCCATTTCGCTTCTGTCGCGCGTCGCGCCCCCGTGCCTCGGCGCGCATTCCTGCTCGGCGTGCGTTTGCGTTCCGCCCTCGTTCGTTGTGCATCCGCATCTGTCGGTTGTCGGCGTTCGGTCGGCGCATGGTTTATTTGCGTTTCTCCGCCTGCGTTCGAGATGTGGTTGGTCTCAGCTACTTCGCGTGGGTTCGCTTGCCGTGGGGCCTCGGCCACCGTCTGTGGCTTGCAGTATTGCTCCCTCTGCAATATTGCATTGTCGGTTGTCGTCTGCCGTCGGGGCGCGATCGGCCCCCGTCGCTTTCGGCGTTCTTTTCTGCGCGCATTGCCCGTTTGATTCCGCCCGCCGTTGGGCGCATGTAGTCCCAGAGGTCCGATGCGTTTGGCCTGCGTCTGGTATCAGTTCTCGCATGTGTTCTGCGTTCCAGGGGGTCGGTGCCAGCTTTGCTGCGGCCCTACTTGGCGCCGTGCGATGTTAGAACCCCTGTGTGGTTTCAATAGCGGTCTCCCGCGTGGGGCCGTAGTTCGCGCGTGGTTGGCTTTCGTTTGTCTTCGGGGTTCTCGTGGCTTCGGCTCCCAGTAACTTTCGGGCGGCGTCTATCCTGCCGCATATAGGAGTGCCATCACCGTTCTGCCCCCCCCCCCCCCCCAGGGGCCCAGGGCCCCCTGAGGGGGCCAAGGGGGGCACGGCCCATGATGGGCCCATGTAGGCAAGGCCCCGAAGGGGGCCCCCGATGAGTTCAGGGGCCGTCGGGGGCGCCTTCCCCAGAGGCCAAGACTCTCGGCGCCCCCCCCGCGAGCACGGCCTCCAAGAAGCACCCGTTGTACGGGCGGAAGTTTCCGAAGAAGTACCCTACTGCTGACAATGATCTTCCACAATCGGAAGCGAAAGCCTTCCTGCCGCCCGACAGCCACGTGTGGCGGAGCAACACGCGGGGCGGGTGGCACTTCCAGGTCATGGACTACACCCGCAACCACGAGAACTGGTCGGACCACGGCGGCGACTCGTTCGCGGCCCTGAAGGCGGCGATGCGCCGCGCCTGGATCCAGTGGCTGGCGCACCACGAGTTGCCCCGCACTGCGTGCCCAATCTCTGGCCTTTTCGACGGCGCTTGAACCCAAGGGGGACGGGGGGCAGGATTGGGGACACATTAAGGGGAGAAGCTGTTCTTGGACCGTTCAGGCGCCAGGCTGGAGGTGGCTAGGGCGGGCGTAACCCTGGTCATCGCAGCCGCCACCAGCGCCAGCGGCACGACATTTTTTTTTCCCAGCTTGTGCTGGGTTAATATCCCCCCCCCCGACTGGGGGGGCTTCTTCTCTGATACCTGATTTGCCCTCCGCGTGCAGCGTCAGAAAACAGATGTCGGGTGCATCCGTCGCTAGATATGGCGGAGCGGGTTTCCATATGGTGCTCCGCTCGCGCCTCGGGGTGGTTTTGGTGAGAGCTCGATCGGTTGCCGCGGCGCGTGGCCCTCCATTGCCCATCGCGCCCTGGGCGGGCTCGATGTTGTTCATTCTCGCCAGCTCGTCCTGAAACGACCCCCGAGGCGGGCGGCCTGTCATGGGAGTCGGGCAGTGCTTTGTATACTGAAGCGGAGGGGCCAACTGCCTTCGCGGCGGTCTCTGGCACGGAAGGCATAGGTGGAGGGCCACAGGAGATAGGGGTGCTGATGATGACGAGTTGGGTGTGACGACGTGGCGGTCCACGCGGGTGAGGAGGAGGCTGAGGGGGGTGGGGGGCGTGCCGTCCAGGCCCAGATCGCGGAGGTCGGGGGCTCGGGGGAGTTGTAATTACCACGCCGACGGGGAAGCTAGGGCGAGTGTTGATGAACCGTTTCAGGCTACCTCCGACCCCCGCCACGGGACTGCGGGGATTTAGATCCCCCGCCAGCGGCGCGACATTCTCCGTGCCAGTTCCTGCGCCCACCCATCCACCCCTGGCCCGTAAGCATTTAGGCTGGAGGCTGAGACTTCGATCAGCCAGCAGATATGTTTTCTTCCAAGGGCTCTCTCGTAGAGTACAAGAGCTCCATGAGCGTCCAGGACCACGGGGGAGTCGCCTGGTAAACCCACCGCTCTTGGATCTATCAGGCGTTGCCCGTTTGATCTCAGGGGCGCCGTCCCCGCGGAGGGGGCGTGGCGGGGCGGCGAGGGGGTGGGGGGAATGAGCGGAGGAGGAGGGATCAGGGGCGGGGGGTGAGGGAGGATGGAGCGGTTGGGGGGATGCGGGAGGAGGGGGCGGTGGAGGGCGGGTGGTAGGATGGAGGAGGGTGGATGGGGGGTGTGACGGGGCGGGCTATGAGGACAACGGGGGGTGCTGAGGCTGTGTAGTCGGGGGAGGCAGGAGTTGGTGGTGAGGAGGGTTGGCGGCATGATGGAGGATGGTGGTTGGGATGAGGAGCAGCGGCATTCGCCCTTGCCTCCCGTGAGGAGCTCGAGGACGCGTGCCTTCTCTCGGTTGCCTCGCCCACCGACTTTGGCTCGATCGTGGTGCGCGGGCCTCATTGGACTCGCGATGATCTGGACGGCGGCTCTGGCGCGAAGGGTGAGATCCAGGTCCCGACCAGGGATGTGCTGCACCAGTGGCTGTACACGGTCTTGTGCGGCACCGCGGGCGGGCGCAAGTGCGACAGGGGCTTCTACTACGGCGGCTGGTGGATCGACCGCAGCTGCCACGCGGTCTTCTCGCAGTACGACAACGAGGGTGCCTTCTTCCGCTGCGGGGACGAGGGGAAGTGGGACTTGGCGAAGATCTCCAACATGCGCACGATGTTGGACAGGGATCGGATCGTATCAGTGATGAACGTGCGCAACGACATCCACAGCATCTTGAACGACCATGACGGCGTCCACAGCTTCAAGCGCGTCTTCCAGTGCGGTCAGGGCCCCAGCGATGCCATGATCCAGATGCTCAAGGAGCAGGTCC